CCGTTTGCCGTGTTGAAGAATTGGAAGCACCAATAACTGCTGATAATGGTGAATATTTGAAAATGCTGGCTCATTGATAACGAAGATCTACATCAAAAGAGGACCGCGCGCTTTAGCTTCAAAGAATACAACGCCAAATTATGAAAAAAGATTTCTAATTATCGAGATGCACAAGAGAAGAAGCGTGCTGGAAAATGATTAAATGTTTTTTACTTATCCCCTATGTGTTTGACGCTTTAATGAGAATATTGATTCCGAATGGCTTTCGAAGCCATAAACATTTTGTGACTCAGAAAAATGTTTCATCGTCTGAATTCAATTACAAATATTTATATAAATATGTGTGCGTAAAGTATAACAATTTTAACAAAAAAAGAACATGTATATTAAAGTTAAAAAAAATGAATTATATTAAAATTTTACATTATCATATAAATGTTTTTTATTAAAAATAGTTTTATATAATATAATATATTAAAGCTTTATTTTCATATTAAAATTTATATTATTGAAATAAACATCTTTCTGCAAACAGTATAATAAACTTTTTTGTCTTAAAACTAAAACCCTTATTGTCTATAAACTATAAATGTAATAAAGAAAAAATAATAGTAAATTAAAAGAAAAGAATAAAATACTGATCAAAATACGGACTAGTTATGTGAAAGATTTTTTTTTTATACTTCAACACAATCTTGATTATTATTAATAATTGGAATATGTTGTCTCTCTACTTCTTTCTGCTTCTATAAAGGCACGTAGACATTCATTTCGCTCTTTTTCATTATCCGCAATTTGTTGCATTGCCTTTGCAAACATCTGTAAAAATAAACATAAAAAAAAGTACGTTTTAAAGCATTGAGTTAATAACACGTTTCTTCCAAGAAATTATATTCTGAGAATGACAGATAGATCTTTACCTCCCATACATGAATTTGGCGTTCGCTAGGATCGCAAATCTTCTCTGGCATTGTGCAGTTGTATACCCAACCGTTCACTGTCTTACAAAGAAAGAAAATATTACGTATATAAACTGAGCTGTTATAAAAAAATAGGTATATATCAATAGCAATACTTACTCCTTGTAATTTGTGGTCTTTTTCGCTTCTTGCTCGAACTTTGCGTTTACAGTTGTGAGCCGTTGTGGATCATCAATTGAATAGCGGATGGTGTTCTGTTATTTCACGATGACATTCTGCAGTCTCCACATTTTGAATTTGTGAGTGTGTTTGAATATTATTGAAAGATGACCCTTCTTCAATAACATTTCCCATATCATGTAGCACTTCATAATCTGAAATAAAAAAGTGTAAGGAGTGCTGCATTTATACATTTTCAGAGCAATATTGATTAACACATTCATATAATTTATCGAGACATTTACAATGTATTCAGAAAAAATCCTACCTGTATAATTACCTGTATAATTACCTACCATTACCTACCTGTATAATTACCTACCATTACCTGTATAATTAACGTCATGTTCTATAATCTCGTTATTTCTTAATGTTAATGACTCTGGAATATCATTTAAAATTCTTTCGTCCCCTGCAGTAAGCAAATGCATTGCTTCTCCCTGAAATAAACATTTAAAAAGCAAATACTGTTTAATAAACATGTACTCAATATTATTTTTATGTGCATCACAAACAAAAAAGATTTCAAATTTTTAAGTATGATGAAATAAGAAGTTTCTAAATATATTTTAATAAAAATGTTCTATATTAGATATATCAGGTGTAGTAAAAAGAAATCCATTATTTTTCCAATAGATGGCTTTAGTTATCTGTATTTCGCGTTATATAAGTCCGATCGGGTTCTACTAGATGGCGTTAGAAAGATGAGATTTCGTACTAAAAAGACTTTTCTGACAGTTTTGTGACTAGTTGACACAGTTTTGTTTGAGCGCGCGTCGAAGATGGACACTAGCAAAGAGAAAATACGCTATATTTTACAGTTTTTCTTCGATAAAGGCGAAAACGCAAGCCAGGCGGCTGAAAATGTGAATAGTGTTTATGGTCCTGATACTGTAACAACCAATCAGGCGCAATTTTGGTTTCGTCGATTCCGTTCCGGTAATTTCGATGTCAAAGATGCACCACGCACTGGAAGGTCAATTGTCGAAAATATCGATAAAATCATGGACATTGTCGAGTCCGACCGTTATGTAAGCACTGTTTCGATTGCCCAAGAGCTAAAGATTGCACAAAAAACCGTTTGGAACCATTTGAATAAGGCTGGATACAAAAAGAAGCTCGATGTATGGGTACCACACGAGTTAACGAAAATAAACCTCATGGACCGAATTTCCATCTGCGAATCGCTGCTGAATCGCAACAAAATCGACCCATTTCTGAAGCGGTTGGTCACTGGTGATGAAAAGTGGATCACTTACGACAACGTCAAGCGAAAACGGTCGTGGTCGAATCGCGGTGAGCCGGCGGAAACGGTGGCCAAGCCAGGATTGACGGCCAGGAAGGTTTTGCTGTATATTTGGTGGGATTGGCAGGGAATTATCTACTATGAGCTGCTCTCCTACGACAAAACTCTTAACTCGGAACTGTACTGTCAACAATTGGACCGTCTGAAGGAAGCAATCGCCCAGAAGCGGCCAGCTTTGGCCAATAGGAGAGGAATTGTGTTCCATCAGGACAACGCCAGGCCACACACATCGATAGTGACTCACCAGAAGCTCCGGGAGCTTGGTTGGGAGGTTCTTATGCATCTACCTTATAGTCCGGACCTGGCACCAAGTGATTACCATCTGTTTCTGTCCATGGCGAACAATTTTACTGGTGAAAAATTCGATTCAAGAGAGGCTTGCGAAAATCGACTGTCTCAATTTTTTGCCAATAGGGACGAGGGCTTCTATGAGAGAGGCATAATGAAATTACCTTCCAAATGGCAACAAGTTATCGAACAAAACGGCGCATATTTGACCTAAATCGGATCATTCTAACTATGGTAATTAAAGCCTTCAATTTCATGCAAAAATAATGGATTTCTTTTTACTACACCTAATATTTTATATTAGAAAAATGATTACAGTTATATTTAAAACTTTTTCACTACCTGTTCCTCTGGAAATGAATCAGGACATTGTACACCTTCCACATAATTTAGTCCTATAAGGCCTAAAATCTTTTTTTCTCGATCCGTCAGTGTGATAGGAGGACCACCAATGTTCCCTGTTGTAACTTTATTAGCACGGATTTTAGCAACTTTTTGGGAAACTGCTGTTTTATTATCTCGCCATGTCTAAAGCATGTATTACGAAAATATATCCAACGTAGTTACATCCCAGCAAACACAATATTAGATGTAACGTATAATACATGTTGGTTGTAATTTCCTGCTCAACAATATAACTGTTACATAACATATATGTCATATAACAATTATATTGTTGATTAGGAAATTACAACTAACATGTACGTTACATCTAACATTGTGTTTGCTGGCATGTTACACATAATATTTTAAATATTATTGACTTACCGATTTCCATGACTTTATATCTTTTGACTTCCCATTTCTTCCCATAGTATTTAAGTGAGCGACTAATTGCTCCCATGACCCTCTTAAATCTGCGTTCCCGTGTAGAGTTTGGAATTTGCATGTTGCTACATGTGGATGCTGTACAAAATAGTCCACCATATAATCTATTTGTGCTGACGTTGCTTTCGCCTGCCTCTTCTTAATCCCTGTTCCATTTTGTCTGAAAAAAAAATTATTAGCATACGTGTAATAGATTATACCTGAAATTGATTTATTTTATTAAAATTTTGCATACTTACTGCGATATAGAAGTCATTGCGCTTAAGTTATTACAATAAGATATATCACTTATATATAAACTTATATATAAACTTATATTTGTCTCACTGTAACTTATAGTATCGATTCAGTAGTGCAGCGAAAACGAACAGACTCATTAAAATGCTGCTGTCATGAAATAATATTTTTAAATTAATTTATAATTAATTTATGTAAAATTATATTTATAAAAAAATAAATACACAATTTAATAAGGAGATTTGTGGTAGTTACAACAAAGTACAAGAGACTTAGATAATCTAACAATTGGTTTCATCCAAGATTCTTGTCTTTTGTACAATTAACAATAAAATATTTTCATAACTCTCTTGCACTTTTATACTTTGCTGTAGTTATCTCTAACCTTCTTGCTACTTGTTTTATTAAAAAAGGAAAGGAAGGTTTTATTAAAAAAGGAAAAATCAAATAACAGTCAAACAAAACTTCTTTTGTTAATAACTTTTTAATAAATAATAAGTGACAGCTAAGATCTTTCGAGTATTGTTCAAGACAATAACCTTATCAAATTCAAATTACCTGGCAATGATTTTTTCTACGTCAATCAAAATTGCTGCTCTGGTTATTAGAATCTTTTTGCCTCAAACTCAGATTCAAACAAGGTTAAAAGATCACCTTCACGTACCGGACCTTTCATGTTTTGATAATTTGTCGATTTTATTTGCCGGAACTCTATTTTCACTCGTCTGAATTGTCCTTGTGAGTCTGTGCGGCCCAGGATCTTCATAATAAGTTTCAAATCAACTGACTTATCCATAACCTTTTCCACGTGAAATACCAACCTACGAATTTTCCCCCAAAACTTGACATGTATACGTCATTTCCTCTTTTCTTCCACGCATAACGACAACATTAAATAACGACGTTTCGTTACCACATTCTGTAACGTCAGAGTGTCGCTATTCTGAGTTAGAGAATCGCGTAGTTGGTATCAATATCTCGTTACACACGACGAAAGTCGGTATTGTTACCGTAACGTCATGTATCGTTATAATTATAACGAGTTACAGAATCCCGCTACTGTAGCGGGATTCTGTAACTCGTTATGCCGTCGTTATGTGCTCATAACGACAATTGTCGGTTCGTTATATAACGTTACAACACTATAACGTCAAATGCAATTCTGTACGCGAATGATAACGACTATTGTCGCTATTCATAACGAAAATCGTCGGTATGATGTCGTTATATGTCGCTATCATAACGCATGGTTCGATACCCCTCGGTACGCGTAACGATCACATAACGACAGTAGTGGTCTGTTCATTTTAACTGTACTGCTGATCTGGTGTAATAAGTTAGAGTGAGACAAGTACATTTTCCTCACTCTAACTTATTGCACCAATTCAGCAGCTAAAAAGAACAAACCATAAGTTAAAGGTTAAAAATGTTTAGAAGCGTCTGAAGTGTCGAAGTGATGAGTGTGTTCATTTAAGAAGGTCTTCACATGTATACATCGTAAACATATATTAAAAGAAAAATTAACACTTAAGGAACTCGGTGAGTAAAAATTGACGTTGTTTATAATAATTGATTTTCAGAAAGTAATGTATATTTACATCTTAATTCTTATATAATGTTTTGAACGTTGTATTAAGTTAATATGAATTTGCTCTTCTCCTTTCGATTTTTTTATTTATATACTCGTAAGAATTTTTATTTCCATAAAATCGACATATTTGGCATTTAAGCTTATGTATATTAAAAGTTGATTTATTTGAAGAGGACATGGCCCTTGAGTATTTGGCGTGGGAATTAGGATTAGTGGTTGAAAGAGTGCGTCGAACGGCGTGTGGCAAGAAGGCAGCTGAGAGATGCTCAAAACCCTTTTCACATCCCACGAGATGAATTCATTGACTATTTTCGCCTTACTCCTGAACTGGTAATCGACATTGCAACTGCATTAAGGGTTGATTTACAGAATGAACGACTTACTGGCTTAGTGCCAGAAATAAAGGTAACATTGGAACAAAACTATAATAATTTATAATATTTAATTTATAATATTGAAACATAATCTTGAAACATTAAATACAGGTGTTGATAGCCATACAATTTTATGCGCAAGGCAGCTATCAAAGAAGCGTTGGCAATCAATTCCAATGGATTGTTAGCCAATCAACAACAAGCCGTTGCCTCCATGCCGTAACTGAAGCGATTAATCGGCGCTTGCTGCGTAGATGGGTAAAATTCCCGATGACCGAAGAAGATCGACAGCAAGCGCGTGCAAAATTCTCCGCTGCTATTTACCCATTCGAAGGTGCTATCGCTGCTATAGACTGTACTTTTATTCATATTATAGCCCCTCATGAAAATGAAGAGGCGTTCATTAATCATCACGGTCACCATTCTTTGAATGTGCAAGCGGTAAGTTTAATCACTTAGGAAGTACATAAATTGGTTTTCCTGCAAAACTTTTGTCTAATTGTAGCATTATTTAATTATACTTTCAGATTGTTGATCCAGATGAAGCTGCTTAACATCAATCCACGATATCCAGGTGCACGAAACGACTCATACATCTGGAGTACATCACCAATTCGTCGAGCAATGGAATTTCATTATAATCGAGGAGAATGGAAAACTTGGCTGATCGGTGAGTGAACCTTTAGTCCTTATGAACCTTCAGTCCTTATGAAAATAAGGACTTCGAAGAACTTTGCAAAAGAAAATAAAAAACTGTAATAAGATCTTGTATATTTTTATAAATACTGAATATTCTGTGTGACAGCCGTGTGCTCACATCGACGCCTTGTTCGACCGTCACACGTCGGTCGTATAATACTAAATAACGTTTGGTACACAAGAAAGAAAAACAAGATTTTTTCATTGTTTTTGAATAATTAAGATTTCATGTAATTTTAACTTTTTATTTATTTCCCGAAATATTCAGTAACAACATATTCGTAACAATATTAATATTTTTCATTAGGCGATGCTGGATACCCTTTGGAACCGTGGCTCATGACACCATTGGTCGATTTTCCTGAAAATACCCGACAATTTCATTATACGCAACAGCTCTGTAAGGCAAGAAACGTTGTTGAACGTTTTTTTGGTGTCTTCAAATCTGTATGGAGATGTCTTTCCTATCAGCGTGTACTGATGTATAGGCCAGCATTTGCTGCAAAAATAGTTAATGCATGTGCAGTACTGCATAATATAAGAATTCAACACCGTTTGCCTGTTGAAGAATTGGAAGCACCAATAGCTGCTGATAATGGTGAATATGAAAATGCTGGGCTCATTGATAACGAAGATCTACATCAAAGAGGACCGCGCGCTTTAGCTCAAAGAATACAACGCCAAATTATGAGAAAAAGATTTCCTAATTATCGAGATGCACAAGATGAAGAGCGTGCTGAAAATGATTAAATGTTTTTTTTACTTATCCCCTATTGTTTGACGCTTTAAATGAGAATATTGATTCCGAATGGCTTTCGAAGCCATAAACATTTTGTGACTCAGAATAAATGTTTCATCGTCTGAATTCAATTACAAATATTTATATAAATATGTGTGCGTAAAGGATAACAATTTTAACGAAAAAAAGAACATGTATATTAAAGTTAAAAAAAATGAATTATATTAAAATTTTACATTATCTTATATAATGTTTTTTATAAAATAGTTTTATATAATATTAAATATATTAAAGCTTTATTTTCATATTAAAATTTTATATTATTGAAATAAACATCTTTCTGCAAACAGTATAAAAACTTTATTGTCCTTAAACTAAAACCCTTATTGTCTATAAACTATAAATGTAATAAAGAAAAAATAATAGTAAATTAAAAGAAAAGAATAAAATACTGATCAAAATACGGACTAGTTATGTGAAAGATTTTTTTTTTTTAATACTTCAACACAATCTTTGATTATTATTAATAATTCGGAATATGTTGTCTCTCTACTTCTTTCTGCTTCTATAAAGGCACGTAGACATTCATTTCGCTCTTTTTCATTATCCGCAATTTGTTGCATTGCCTTTGCAAACATCTGTAAAAATAAACATAAAAAAAAGTACGTTTAAAGCATTGAGTTAATAACACGTTTCTTCCAAAGAAATTATATTCTGAGAATGACAGATAGATCTTACCTCCATACATGAAATTTGGCGTTCGGCTAGGATCGCAAAATCTTCTCTGGCATTGTGCAGTTGTATACCCAACCGTTCACTGTCTTACAAAGAAAGAAAATATTACGTATATAAACTGAGCTGTTATAAAAAAATAGGTATATATCAATAGCAATACTTACTCCTTATAATTTGTGGTCTTTTTCGCTTCTTGCTCGAACTTTGCGTTACAGTTGTGAGCCGTTGTGGATCATCAATTTGAATAGCGGATGGTGGTTCTGTTATTTCACGATGACATTCTGCAGTCTCCACATTTTGAATTTGTGAGTGTGTTTGAATATTATTGAAAGATGACCCTTCTTCAATAACATTTCCCATATCATGTAGCACTTCATAATCTGAAATAAAAAAGTGTAAGGAGTGCTGCATTTATACATTTTCAGAGCAATATTGATTAACACATTCATATAATTTATCGAGACATTTACAATGTATTCAGAAAAAATCCTACCTGTATAATTACCTGTATAATTACCTACCATTACCTACCTGTATAATTACCTACCATTACCTGTATAATTAACGTCATGTTCTATAATCTCGTTATTTCTTAATGTTAATGACTCTGGAATATCATTTAAAATTCTTTCGTCCCCTGCAGTAAGCAAATGCATTGCTTCTCCCTGAAATAAACATTTAAAAAGCAAATACTGTTTAATAAACATGTACTCAATATTATTTTTATGTGCATCACAAACAAAAAAGATTTCAAATTTTTAAGTATGATGAAATAAGAAGTTTCTAAATATATTTTAATAAAAATGTTCTATATTAGATATATCAGGTGTAGTAAAAAGAAATCCATTATTTTTCCAATAGATGGCTTTAGTTATCTGTATTTCGCGTTATATAAGTCCGATCGGGTTCTACTAGATGGCGTTAGAAAGATGAGATTTCGTACTAAAAAGACTTTTCTGACAGTTTTGTGACTAGTTGACACAGTTTTGTTTGAGCGCGCGTCGAAGATGGACACTAGCAAAGAGAAAATACGCTATATTTTACAGTTTTTCTTCGATAAAGGCGAAAACGCAAGCCAGGCGGCTGAAAATGTGAATAGTGTTTATGGTCCTGATACTGTAACAACCAATCAGGCGCAATTTTGGTTTCGTCGATTCCGTTCCGGTAATTTCGATGTCAAAGATGCACCACGCACTGGAAGGTCAATTGTCGAAAATATCGATAAAATCATGGACATTGTCGAGTCCGACCGTTATGTAAGCACTGTTTCGATTGCCCAAGAGCTAAAGATTGCACAAAAAACCGTTTGGAACCATTTGAATAAGGCTGGATACAAAAAGAAGCTCGATGTATGGGTACCACACGAGTTAACGAAAATAAACCTCATGGACCGAATTTCCATCTGCGAATCGCTGCTGAATCGCAACAAAATCGACCCATTTCTGAAGCGGTTGGTCACTGGTGATGAAAAGTGGATCACTTACGACAACGTCAAGCGAAAACGGTCGTGGTCGAATCGCGGTGAGCCGGCGGAAACGGTGGCCAAGCCAGGATTGACGGCCAGGAAGGTTTTGCTGTATATTTGGTGGGATTGGCAGGGAATTATCTACTATGAGCTGCTCTCCTACGACAAAACTCTTAACTCGGAACTGTACTGTCAACAATTGGACCGTCTGAAGGAAGCAATCGCCCAGAAGCGGCCAGCTTTGGCCAATAGGAGAGGAATTGTGTTCCATCAGGACAACGCCAGGCCACACACATCGATAGTGACTCACCAGAAGCTCCGGGAGCTTGGTTGGGAGGTTCTTATGCATCTACCTTATAGTCCGGACCTGGCACCAAGTGATTACCATCTGTTTCTGTCCATGGCGAACAATTTTGCTGGTGAAAAATTCGATTCAAGAGAGGCTTGCGAAAATCGACTGTCTCAATTTTTTGCCAATAGGGACGAGGGCTTCTATGAGAGAGGCATAATGAAATTACCTTCCAAATGGCAACAAGTTATCGAACAAAACGGCGCATATTTGACCTAAATCGGATCATTCTAACTATGGTAATTAAAGCCTTCAATTTCATGCAAAAATAATGGATTTCTTTTTACTACACCTAATATTTTATATTAGAAAAATGATTACAGTTATATTTAAAACTTTTTCACTACCTGTTCCTCTGGAAATGAATCAGGACATTGTACACCTTCCACATAATTTAGTCCTATAAGGCCTAAAATCTTTTTTTCTCGATCCGTCAGTGTGATAGGAGGACCACCAATGTTCCCTGTCGTAACTTTATTAGCACGGATTTTAGCAACTTTTTGGGAAACTGCTGTTTTATTATCTCGCCATGTCTAAAGCATGTATTACGAAAATATATCCAACGTAGTTACATCCCAGCAAACACAATATTAGATGTAACGTATAATACATGTTGGTTGTAATTTCCTGCTCAACAATATAACTGTTACATAACATATATGTCATATAACAATTATATTGTTGATTAGGAAATTACAACTAACATGTACGTTACATCTAACATTGTGTTTGCTGGCATGTTACACATAATATTTTAAATATTATTGACTTACCGATTTCCATGACTTTATATCTTTTGACTTCCCATTTCTTCCCATAGTATTTAAGTGAGCGACTAATTGCTCCCATGACCCTTTTAAATCTGCGTTCCCGTGTAGAGTTTGGAATTTGCATGTTGCTACATGTGGATGCTGTACAAAATAGTCCACCATATAATCTATTTGTGCTGACGTTGCTTTCGCCTGCCTCTTCTTAATCCCTGTTCCATTTTGTCTGAAAAAAAAATTATTAGCATACGTGTAATAGATTATACCTGAAATTGATTTATTTTATTAAAATTTTGCATACTTACTGCGATATAGAAGTCATTGCGCTTAAGTTATTACAATAAGATATATCACTTATATATAAACTTATATATAAACTTATATTTGTCTCACTGTAACTTATAGTATCGATTCAGTAGTGCAGCGAAAACGAACAGACTCATTAAAATGCTGCTGTCATGAAATAATATTTTTAAATTAATTTATAATTAATTTATGTAAAATTATATTTATAAAAAAATAAATACACAATTTAATAAGGAGATTTGTGGTAGTTACAACAAAGTACAAGAGACTTAGATAATCTAACAATTGGTTTCATCCAAGATTCTTGTCTTTTGTACAATTAACAATAAAATATTTTCATAACTCTCTTGCACTTTTATACTTTGCTGTAGTTATCTCTAACCTTCTTGCTACTTGTTTTATTAAAAAAGGAAAGGAAGGTTTTATTAAAAAAGGAAAAATCAAATAACAGTCAAACAAAACTTCTTTTGTTAATAACTTTTTAATAAATAATAAGTGACAGCTAAGATCTTTCGAGTATTGTTCAAGACAATAACCTTATCAAATTCAAATTACCTGGCAATGATTTTTTCTACGTCAATCAAAATTGCTGCTCTGGTTATTAGAATCTTTTTGCCTCAAACTCAGATTCAAACAAGGTTAAAAGATCACCTTCACGTACCGGACCTTTCATGTTTTGATAATTTGTCGATTTTATTTGCCGGAACTCTATTTTCACTCGTCTGAATTGTCCTTGTGAGTCTGTGCGGCCCAGGATCTTCATAATAAGTTTCAAATCAACTGACTTATCCATAACCTTTTCCACGTGAAATACCAACCTACGAATTTTCCCCCAAAACTTGACATGTATACGTCATTTCCTCTTTTCTTCCACGCATAACGACAACATTAAATAACGACGTTTCGTTACCACATTCTGTAACGTCAGAGTGTCGCTATTCTGAGTTAGAGAATCGCGTAGTTGGTATCAATATCTCGTTACACACGACGAAAGTCGGTATTGTTACCGTAACGTCATGTATCGTTATAATTATAACGAGTTACAGAATCCCGCTACTGTACCGCGATTCTGTAACTCGTTATTGGAGTTAATGACAGTTTCGTTATTGTTGCGCAGCTTTTCTACGGTATACAAAAGCTGCGCAACGATAACGAAAGTGTCGTTAACTCCAATAACGAGTTACAGAATCGCGGTACTGTAGGCTTATTCTCCAACTTCCTAACGACAATATCACTAGCCTAGGGTGTCGTTATGGAGATTTAACAACACTGTAACGAAAAATGGTATTCTATAATTTTTCTTAACGATAAATGTCGTTAAAAGTGTCGATAAAATATCGAATTTTGTCGTTAAAATATCGAGGAGTATGGGACCCCGCGATAAGCAATAACGACAATGTAACTAGATATAACGGTGCTCTAAGAAGCAATAAAGTGTACGGAAATGTGCGAGTGTAATATATTTACTTGTACAGTTGACATTTTAATGATAAAATTTTAAAGAGAATAACGAGAAATAGTTTGTGAGCATTAACACAAAAACAAAAATAAATTATTGTAAGTACAAATGTATTCTACAAATTTAATAATATTTATTAAAATTAATATAATAAATTAATAGCTTTATACAAGGTGTTTGATAGCTGATCATGCAGACGAAAGTTGGAGATAGATTGGGTGTAGCCGAGAAGAAAAGTCATGTACCATAATGTCAAATTGGCAATAGTTATCGAGTTATTAATTAAAACATGTGAGCCAACGAGTGCGTAGAGAGCGGAGGGCGACCGCAGTAAGCACATAGATATTTGATACAGGCGGAGTCAACGAGTGACGGTAGGCGAGCGCGCGCGGCGAGGGGCAACATAAACAACAAGAGGCGAACGCGCGCGACGAGGAGCGAGCAAACGCGAACGACGAGGAGCGAGCGCGACGAAGAGCGAGCGAGCGCGAACGACGAGAAGCGAACGAGCTATAACTAAAAAGCTATAAAGAAAAAGCTCGCTCGCTCCTCGTCGCGCGCGATCGCCTCTTGTCGCTTATGTTGCCCCTCGCCGCGCGCGCTTGTCTACCGACACTCGCTGACTCCGCCTGTATCAAATGTCTACGTGCTTACTGCGGCCGCCCTCCACTCTCTACGCGCTCGTTGGCTCACATGTTTTAATTAATAACTCGATAACTATTGCCAATTTGACATTATGATACATGACTTTTCTTCTCGGCTACACCCAATCTATCTCCAACTTTCGTCTGCATGATCAGCTATCAAACATCCTGTATATGTATGTGTGTGCCTGTGTGTGTCTGTGGTTATCTTCTATATATAGATTGTACATTTAATATAAAGCATAATAATATAATAATAATATAAATAATATAAATATATCTTTTTAGTTAAATTGTTTTTAAAGTTGGTTTAAACATTGACAAAAACAAAGTTTTCCAATGACCTTCACCTTAACATATGTTGTTAAAGTCATCATCCTGAAAGGTTTAGCTATCGCTCATTATTTATTAAAAAGTTATTAACAAAAGAAATTTTGTTTTATTGTTATTTAATTACTTTTTCTTTTTTTAATAAAACAAATAACAAGGAAGTTGAGGATAGCTGCAATAAAGCATAAGAGAGTTAAAATAAGAAATTATTTGGTTATTAATTATACGAAAGACAAGAAAACTTGGGTGAAACCAATTATTAACTAACCTAAATCCCTTGTACTTTGCTCTGGTTGTGACTTCAGACTTTTTGTATATTATTCAGGAACATGTCTTTGACAACAGATATCAAGATTAATGTTATTAAAGTTGACTCAGTTTTTACCAATATTTACTTTAAAGTTCTTTTTATCTTTTTTATGTTGAAGGTAATATGGCTGAAGGATATTTAGCATGAAATTTACTTTTCTTACAAGAAAGAGTAAGGCGGATTGAAAGACGCCTAGAAAGAAGATTATTGCGTGATGCTCAAAATCCATTTGAGCTTCCCAACGATGAATTTATTGCTCAATTTAGAGTAAACAAAGAATTAGTTATGGATGTTGTTAACATTCTTAGGCCAGAATTAGAAAAACAGCGCACAAATGGCTTGTCACCTGAAATACAAGTATTAGTAGCAATTGGTTTCTTTAGTAATGGTAGTTATCAAAGACCAGTGGGGAATCAATGCGAACTTGTTATAAGCTAGCCATCAACTAGTCGTTGCATAAGAAAAGTCGCATATTTAATAAATGTGCATTTATTGCGCCGATGGATAAAATTTCCAATGACAGTGGAAGAAAAAATGGTTGCAAAAAATAAATTTATACAAGCTCCGCTGCCATTTCCTGATGCCATTGATGCTATAGATTGCACATATGGTACATTCATATTCTGGCACCACATTTGCATGAAGAGACATTTGTAAATCATCATGGCAATCACTCTTTGAATGTTCAAGCGGCAAGTTTTACACTCTTTGTTATGTTTCATTACTCATAATTTATTACAAATATTATAATAGATTACAAACATTTTTGCAAAAAATTTTACTGTAAATTTAATCTTTTTATTGATTTGATTCGGATTGATTCATAAAATACACATCTCTAATCTAAAAGTTAAATTCGTGATTTTTTGTACCACAAAAATCTAAAGTGTTACATTTTACAGATAGTCGATCCAGATTTAAAAATATTAAATATTAACGCACGATACCCTGGAGCCAGAAACGATGCTTACATATGGAATACTAGTCCCATCAGACATGTAATGGAGCATTGTTATAATCGTGGTGAAAGAAGAACTTATTTGATTGGTAAGAATAAAATGTATTGTATATAATATATACAACATTCTTATATTTATGATAAAATATGTTATTTATACATAGGAAATGCTGGATATCCTCTAGAACCGTGGCTTATGACACCATTGCCACATTATCCACAGTGGAGTCGGCAATTTCATTATAATGAAAAATTATGTAAAGCACGGAGTATTGTGGAGAGATTTTTTGGGGTTCTAAAGGGAACATGAAGATGTCTATCATATCAAAGAGTACTGATGTATGCTCTAGAAATAGGTGGACAAATTGTAAATGCATGCGCAGTGTTGCACAACATGCGTTTACATTATCGAATACCAATTAATATGGAGGAACATATTATGTTACACAATGTACATCAAAATTATGTTAATGATGCAGCAGAAATACAGGATGAAGGGTTTTGTAGAATACCTAGAGCCGTTGCCCAACGAATTCAACAACAGATTATGCGACAATGGTTTCCAAATAATCGTTGTGCATGGAATGAAAGAAATGAACACATTGATGGGTGATATGAACCTTTTTTTATTTAAGAATAAATTAAACTTTCGAACTTTTAACATAAAAACATTTTATAAAATAATTGTATCTCGAAATAAAAATAAACTTGAAAAAAGAATACTATGAATCTTTGTTGTCTAAACATTTATATATAAATTCTAATAACTTTTTTTGTCGCTCTTCATTCTTTACCATCTTGTCAACAACATTTGTTGACTTATTGCTGTACTTGTTGCTGTACTTATTTGTTCAGTAGCTTTGGCTTGCAATTGCATTGCTTTTGCTAACATCTAAAGATAACATTATATAAAGATAACATATAAAATGAAAAGAATTAAAATGTGCTTTATATGAATTTACAAATTCACCAACCTTCATTGCTTCAGCATATTTCTGGCCAATTGCCTCGAAAGATTCTCGAGCATTGCATAATTGCACTCCTAGGCGTTCTGATTTTTCGTCTGCATAAGCAAAAAACGAGAGTAATGTTGAAATCATATAATGAACTTTCTTATCAGAATTTTAATATTGTAATATTTTTACTTCTTTTCCGTTTTCTTCTTCTGGAAATGTGTGTTGCTGTATTTTCTGAAACTGTAACGGTGAAAAGTTAATAATAATTAAAATATAAAATTTAATTTAATTTAAAAATAAAATTTGTACACCAGAAAGCAATACTGTTTTTACTTATTTTTCTGATACATTATAGAATGTCATTCATTCATGCATATGAATCTTTAATAATAGGATTTCTTTTTTATTGATACATTTTTTTAGATTTCGGTAGACGGTCTTGTAATGCATCGAAAAAAATGTTTAAACCGTTTTGTTTGTACAAATAAGATCCGTCAAGCATTACAAATGATTCGAACACGTAAAGAAAAATATAGATTAGTCTGCATATTTCGAAATATTTATAGCATTAAACGAATCATGACATAACTTCCAGTGTAAATATTTTGATTTTATGCTAGCAATACCTTGTGAGATTAATGATATGCATGATGGATCATTTACTGGTAAGTTGTCATCCATAGGATCAATATTTTCTTCATTTTCATTTAAATAGTCCACTACTTCTTCACTTTCTTCATTTATGTGGCTATTCGGTGGTATTTCAGTAGCTAAACAGTAAAATTTTCCATATATTTTATATACTATACTATATATATAGCATAAAAAGGTTTAAATATAAAAACAACATACTAATTAAAATATCTTCTAATTCTGGAATTCTTATTGAAGCTGGAACATTATCTAACGTTGTATTTCCTGCTGATAATTCTTCAATAGCATTCCAATATTACAAAATTATATTGTTTTATATAAATTTTATAGTATGTGTGCGCATATGTATAAAATTAAGTGGAAAAGAAAAATTATTTTTCTCTTTTTACACTTACGTTGTACTCTTCAGGAAAACTGTCAGATACATTTGATAATCCTTGAACGTATTCATGTTCAATTATACCTAATATTCTTTTATCAAAGTCAGTTATTGTGATATTAATTGATTTGTTTCTAGTGCTGGCTCTTGCTTTTCTTAATCGTTGTATTTTTTCAGATACTTTTGATTTATGATCTCGCCATGTCTAAAAAAATATTAAATATAAAAATTATATTATAAATAATATAAAAATAATATTTTCCAGACAATCATGGACAATTGTTTGCAACAAATTAATGTGTTCTGTTTTTGAGTTAAACTATGTTCCTTATGGTTTTGAATACAACATTTTGAATATCTTATTCTACTTCATCAAGCTAAGAAGCTAAGAATCTGGTACCAATATCAAGTTGTTTGACATCTTGATAAAATGGACTTCAATATTTGCAAGATGTTACATTCAAAATCATGGAAAACAGCTCCAAAATAAAAGCTAAACTTAGAAAAATATTTAAAAAGTTAAATATATCTGAAAAACATTATTCACTATATGTATTTACCGTCTTCCAGGATTTCACATCTTTTGCTTTCCCATTTGGCACCATTGAATTTAACAATTGAGTCAATTCTTCCCAGCTTCCTTGCAAATGTTCTTTAGCATTCATTGTCGTAAACTTCCCTTGTGCTACATGTGGATTTTTTTCTAAATAACTTATCAATGCTTCAATTTGTTGATGGGTAGCTCTACCCTGGCGATGTTTCATATTTTGACTGAAAAAATATTAATATTGTTATATATTTTCTCAATCTTTTATATATTGATTAAACATATAATTATTATACACACACACAAATATATGTAACATTAATTTAGTATTAACTGCATTGATCTACATGTATAATGAGTATTTTGCCAATAATATGTATGAACGTAACTTAATAATCTAATAAAATATTTTGCAAACATTACATTAAAGAAAGAATTATGTACGTATGTTAGATTACGCCGGATATATTTATATTTTGATAATAAATTGCGATTTTAATATAAAAAAGGCTCATTATATATATCACATATAGATGTTAAATTAATTAATGTTAAATTAATGTTTGATTTATTTTTAATTTAATTTTCTTGTGTATCATTTATAAATTATTTTACATATATTTACCCTGACATTTTTCGCCAACTATTTATATCATAATAACAATCACATACAATAGATGTCAACATACCTTTTTTTTTGTTAAAGAGGGGAAATGCCTTACGCACACCCTGGGGCCCGTGCTGGAGGTGATCCCAGGGTAGTGTGGGGCTTGCACCCACTAAAACCCCCCGGCCCACAGCGTGCTGAGTGCGGAGAGCCCGGGAAACACCATGCAAGACGGCACTTAGCCATCCGGACTCCCCGCCACACATGCGCGCCGCTACGCCAGACTCAGGTGGGAGAGCCGCACCTCTCCCTGCCTACCCCCGCCCCCCCCCGGGTCAAACGGATGATGATCATTATCATCCGGACCCGAAGAAGCCCCCCGAGGACAGCGACGATGACGACGAAGACCGCGACGACGACGAAGACAACGAAGATGACGAGGCAGACGACCGACGACGATGACGACGACGACGACGAACCCGACACCCCGGATAGCGACGACGACGAGGAAGACGAGGACAAAGGCGCGGAGCCGGGGGAGGGAGCGGACCAACTCCGATCCCCCGATTGGGAGGAGGAAGAGGGGAAAGAGCCCACGACCTAGCGGTCGGCGGCCCTCTCGCGAGCCCTCTCCGCGTTCTCCTTCGACCCCAGTACGACCGCGGCGAATCTCGCCACGGCCGACCAGGCCCGACGAGAGCGGAGGCTCCCCCGCACGACCGCCGGCAGGGATAAATCCCCGCCCACCTCCCTCACCAACTCCTCGCGCTGCACCCGCCATGCCACGCAGTGCTGCAGGGTGTGCTGCGCGTCATCACGCGCGTCTCCGCAGTGAAGACACTGCGGAGACGGATACTTTCCGATTTTGTTTAAAAATTCCGCGAACACCCCGTGGCCCGTCAGCAACTGCGTGACATGAAAGGTCAAGCCGCCACTATTCGAACGATCCAGCCAGAGATTAAACTCTGGCAGGATCGCGTCGCGAACACGAACACTAGGCAGTCCCGGGGCCCGGAGCTGCAAAAGCCACTGCCGGCGAACCAGCAGCTCCTCCGCAGCCCGGGCCTCCGCGACCGCCTCGGACGTCCACAACCCGTACGGACGAAGGTCGCGAGCCCTCTCGTACATCCGGCGACGAGACGCCGTCAGGATGTCAACGGGCGGCATCCGAGCCAGGAGGGTCGCAGCCACGTACGACACCGTCCTGTACCCGGACACCAAGATGTCAACATACCTAATATTTGTATTTATTGTTCCTAAACTCACTGACAAAGATACATGAGGAAAAGAAATTTGATTGGCTGAACACTGCAGCAGTGAAGTTATATTGAATTGAATATACTCGCTTCGGTAACGACGTCGGTATTTTGTATCGATATGGTATCGCTAACTTGAGTTACAGAACAGATATGTCGTTATAGTGCCGTTAGCGCAAGCGACAATCATCGCTACGTAACGATAACGACGTTGTCGTTAGGAAGTTAGAGAATAGGCCCACTGGTGCACGTAACATTTTGCATACATCCCTAGCTTGATTTATTATAGTTGCAGTTTCCTCATCTTTTAAAACACCTGATACAGCAAGTTGAAGTGTATAAGCTGCACAGCGGACAGATCGAATTTGATATTTTAATTCTTCGACGTCCTCACCTTTATCATTAGAATGTAAATTAACTTCTTCATTATCTAATAGCGAAAATTCATATTCTTCATCATCGTTATTAATATATTCTTCATCAGTAAATAATGTATTATAACTGTCGCCATCATTATCGTTTTCGTCTTCATTATTGCAATGTTCTAATTCTACTTGATCGTTATCATTGAGTTTAACGAGCTTAATCATATTTGAACTGTTATCAGTCGTAATCGAATAAATCTGACTTATAGGTATTTCATATGTGGAAAGGACATTTTTTATATAAGGAAATTTGTTTTATATTTATAGCAGTATGTCTACCGTAAATTTCTTTGACTGCTAAAGTATTTAAAACCAATTCGTTCCATCCACATACTGTATATTTATTCCTAAAAATGAACGATTAATACAAGTCACTGCATATATCTTTAATGATAGTAATTTGCCTTTGAATTTCTTCCCAAGTTGTTTCCGAAACAAATTTGCTTTACTTATAACAGCCTTACGCACTTCTTGAGAAGAAACATTTATATTTGAAGTTGAACATGACAGTATCATATTCCCAGATAATCAAGTGCGCCAAAAGCATGTTTTACAAATTGCATTCTGCACAATAAGACAGCAAGATGCTGGTGAAATTACTTTAGATTTTGCTATTTTAAAATATATTAGCAGAAATATAGCAAAAACTAAAACAGTATGTTAGCAAAATATATCGATAGAAACTAAGCAGATATTAAATATAATTTGCAATAATTTTTAAATAGCAAAAAGTCGTTAGATATAGAGCTGATCTGTGATAAAATTACAATGACAAAAGCGCAGTAAAAGTCGAGCACGTCGTATCACCACGACGTGACAGCAAAACCGTAGCAAAACTCGAGCACGTCGTGCCGTCACGATGTGAGAGCAGAAAGGAGACAAAACCGAGCATATCGCGCAGTTTCAACATGTCAGGAAAAACGGGACAAAACTAGAGCATACTATCACGTCATGACGTGACAACAAAATTGCGATAGAAATATATTAATACATGCCACGTTTTCTGTAATGATATAGTAGGGTTATTAACCGTGTTTTCCTAAATATTGAATAAAGAAAATAAACATGAAAAATAGTACAATTTAATGTCATTAATTTTAACGTTTATTTTCTTTATTCAATATCTTGCAAAACGCGGAAAATAAAATTGAATAATTGCATAAGCCTGTATTTATTAAAAAAATTTATTTAGTTACATTTACGTTATTCTATTAATTGTATTACATGCTTGTGCGTTATAAATGATACATGTTATAAAAAACGTAAGTAGTAAAATTGGTTTACAGGATATGTTATTACCAGATATGCGAACTTTGCGTCGCTTAGGGCTTTCACACACGAATCGCCATAACTGGTGAATGTAAGACGTGAATTTAAGTTAATGAGCCAATCAAGATTGTCCTAAATTTGTATATTCCAAAGGAAGATAGAAGTAACCGTGCGAGTGCGATTTAGACTAAAAAAGTAGTATTCTAACCAAACGGATTCTAGTTACTTCTACTTCCCAAGCAGATTTATGACCAATTCCATCTTCTTCCAGTGTATATAAGTCTAAAGCAATGTCCTGATTGGCTCATCAGTTTAAATTCACATCTTATATTTACGGTTATGCCAATTCGTGTGCGAAAGTCCTTAAGTAGATGGCACACTAACGAACTTAAACAATAAGACGTGAACAGTAAGAAAAGTGACCAATCGCCGTCGATACTTCCTCGACCGTAAGAAGAATAATCGACTGTGATTGATCGATTCGCTTACTGCTTACGTCTTACCACTTAAGTTCGTTTATGTGCCATGGTCCTTAAGCCCATTCTACAATATCGACTGTAGCCCATATGTAAGAATATGATTGTAAAAAATAAAAGTAAAAATTGACCAATCACAATTGAATGTGAAAAGAATAATTGACTATAAATGGTTACTTTCTTACTTTTACTTTTTATAATCATATTCTCATACCCATTATAGAAAAGCCTTTATTTCTGGCTACCATTCCAGACGCTCACTAATCGTCGAGCGCAATTAAGTGCTGTGTACCACCGCGTTGATCTAGAGATAAGAGTTAAATTGTGTCAAATAACATAACATCGCATAATGTCAAAATCCGTTTTTTATTTCATCTGGTTACAATGTGAACTAAGACATATTTGTATAAATTGTCAAATGTAAATTTATGGCGTAGTGTTCATTCTCTCGCTATAAAAATCTATATTAAAATAGATAGGCGCCATAAATTTACATTAGACAATATATACATAGACAAATATGTCGTAGTTCATTGTAATCGTATGAAATAATAAAACGGATTTTAGCACTATGCGACGTTGTGTTATTTGCTACGTAATTTAGTTCTTATCGTCAGACCTTTGTCTGCTTTATGGAATATCTGAAACAGAAATTAACTTTTAAGTAGATTTGCTACATAATATTAGAGTAGTCTATTCATACTTATCTTTAACATCTTTTGAGTATAGAGATTATTTGATAACTTTCTTTTTATTTTTTTGGGGGGGGAGGGAGGGACGTTGAAGACAGCACGCTATCTCCAAGTGGCCCCAACGAACTTGCAGAACTTGTAGAATATTTCTCTTTTATACATCTCGTGTAACTTTTTCATACCTCCCCCTAGTTGCATCTCCTTTTATAACCTAAATTGTGCTGTAAGAAAAGTTTTATTTTACAATAAATATTATTAGTAGGCTAGATCGAAATGAATTGATATGATAAATCGAATCGTATAAACCTTGAGATAGTTGTCATTAATTTTTGTTTCAAACAAGTTTTTTACAGTTTCTACTTATAACTGGCACGATAAAACAGATTGTTTGAAACAAAAAAAACTATCGACAATTATCTAAAATCTTATATTGATCCAAATCGCTCTGTGATTCAGTTCGTTTTGGTTTATTCTAATGTGCTTATAAAAGAAAATAAAAGTTTTTTACACTACTTAATTTACTCATTTTCGCACTGTAGCTTCTGTAGCTCGCCTGTGCGAAGAGCTGCTTCCAGCCCTTCCTTGTCCTGTACTCCATCGTCAGTTCAATAATTTCTAGTACGTTTTCGTTGTACTCCTGTCAGACGTACACTATTTTGAACACGTTGTTTCGCCGATCGCAAGGCCTCTCGCATGTACGCTTGAAATTCTGTACGGCTAGGCTTATTAAAATTGCGATTACTGCAAACGGCATCTGATAGTAGGCAATAGACTGTTCAATGAAATATGTATACGCAAAATGAAAGACTAATGATTTAAATAATTATTACTAATGACTTGAATAATTTAAATAATTATTAAATGTATGTATGAAGAGGGAAAAAACAGAAATTATAGATAACGGACAATTGTAGAGAAACGGACATTTTATGAGAAACAATTTTTTCTACATTAAGGTCCGTTTGCTCCAACTTATAGATAAGGTAACTGACATTCAAATCTTATGTCTGTCTTGGTTTTTCTTCAAGATAAAGAGAAACAGATGTTTCAACTTTAATTACTTTTATTATAGTTAACTCATCATTCGGTTGATACAATCAGGCTAAAGGACCAGTTGTTCTAACTTCTTGATAAGCTAACATTTAGGTCACTTTAAAATAAACAAAGACAGACACATATTTTCACTGTTAGTTATAAATAGCAAATAGTATGTGAAGAATACATACCATAGATTGCCATAACAATTCGTTTATTATATAACGGTTGCGATTCTCCTTCACGGCCAAACCATGTAAACTTCGTTGTCAAGTTGTCCTTTATTACTTCCTTGAAAGCCAAGTTGATTGCTTCCTTCACTATAAAACCTCCCACATATTGAAGATAATCCACCTGTATTAAAAATTGCAAATATGTTTATATTGTGCGATTTTACTTTAAAGACAGATAAGGTTTAATAGTAGGATCTTATATTTAAGTCCGTCCTAAGTTCATCTTTAGATGCTGTGCAAATCGTTTCATTGTTTACGGAGTATCTGAATATTAACTTGAGACAATCTTAAATATACCCAGCAAACACAATATAACATATAACATACTTGTTAGTTGTAATTTCTTACTCAATAATGTAACTGTTATATAACGCGTGTGTTATATAACAATTACATTATTGAGTAGGAAATTACAACTAACAAGTATGTCACATTGTGTTTGCTGGATAAGATCCGACGATAAATACACTTTTATACTTGTAAAAAAATGTAACAATTTTTCGAGTTTCACATGTGAATTTACCACTTATTCATAAATATCGTCGTCCACTGTTTAAAATGTTTATATTTCCATCTCGGTAGAAATAGGCAGACAGTCTGGTTTTCGAGTAACTCGGCCTTTATCTTGGCGTGTACGCACACATTTCAACACAGTCTCCAGAGTATGTTGAAATTGTCTACAAACAAAATTTAAATATAGTCATATTACGCCTAATTATTAAATAATATTATACAATCAAGACGTAAGATATAACAAGCTCACTTGAATTGTGCTTCCATGCGGTCCAAACGCTCCTCTATTTTTCTACAGTAAATATTACGATATATATTCTCTAAATCCGAATCAGTGAGATATATTGAAAATCAGTGACTATTCACTGATTTTTAGTAAATCTCACTGATTCAGATTTAGAGAGTAAGTAGAGAAATATTGTAAATAATTAAATATTTTTGTCAATACAAAATTAATTTTGCAAATACGTTGAATTACTTATATGTATGTATACCAGATTAAATATACACTCAATATATATACATGAATAAATAATTCAATGTATTTGCAAAATTAATTTTGTACACACCGGTATTGTCCATTATCATCGTTGATCTGTGAAATGCTGCAGTACAGCACTTGTCTATATTTGAAGAAAGAACCTGAAACTTATTTAATATATTACTGCTGTTTTCAGACATGTCATATCGGTGCGTTGTAGATGCATGTTCTGTGTGAATGGGTGTATATTGTGATTCTGTATGTGTAGATGTTTGCAATGTTACATATTGTGTAGAATTTTGTTGGGGTAGATATTGCGTTTGAATGGGTATGTGTGTTTGTATTCCGTGTACATGAGGAGTGTACGTCTGATTATTACTATCATTATTAGTATTATGAATATTATATGAGAAATTCTCCTGAAGAATTCCTCTCAACTCCCTTATATCCTCTTCCAAGGTTTTGCCAATGTCCTTTTGTTTCCCTGTAGTATCCATTGACCTCTTCCGGGGTGACTCGTCAGAAGAAGTAGTCTGATATATCGAGGGTTTTATTATGGGTCGTTTTGGACGGTCCATTTGCCTATATAAGAAAATGCATAAAAATATATTGAGTACGTTAAATATATATACATATAAGTGTGTGTGTGTGTGTGTTTTACTTGTTTCATTTTTATATCTTTTAGTTTAGTTCCTATATAATTATATTATATAGAAATTAAACATGTCAAATTATATATTTATAATTATATTAATTAATTGCAGTCATCTATGATTATAAATCATATATTTCAGTAAAGTAAATTATTCTTTTCCACATAGAGGAGAACTTATGCAAAAATTATTGTATGAAAATATTGTATGAAAATAAAAACTTTGAAAATAAAAAATAATAAAATAGTCTTAGTTCAATTAAAAAGGTAAAAAAATATGCACTTAGTTAAAAAAATGTTTGCTTATTATTATTTAGCAGCAAGTAAATTTGAAATAATGAGAGAACATTGAAAGAAAAAAATAAGAATTTGTTAAATTTTATCATTATGTATAATAGCAGAAATTATATATTTATCATATTCTAAGTAATTGTCATCGTCACTACTATTCTCATTTTCTGACATGCAATTCCAAAAAGGCATCTTATAACACTTTGCATGGATTTCCTTTATATGTACAGAGAAAATATTATTATCTAATGTGGAATATTTAAAGATGTACAGTATAGAAGAAGAAATACCAACGTCATAAAATTTATTTACATCCAAAAATTTTCTTACTACTAAACGTGAATTGTCCACTATTAAATATTGACAATAAAGCAAATAGAACCATCATTCAAAATACAGCAATTATCACGTTTGTCTAAGCTGAGCAAGATTCCATTAAATATGATCGTACGATATTGGCAAGAGTTTGAAAGAAGAAAGCGTGGAAGAGGGCTTACGTTATGCTTCATGAACTGCTGAATCACGGACTGCTGAATCCGTGCTCAAATAATCAGTTGCTGTATTTGCTTCTATCTCTGCTATTCTATTTGAAATTTGCTGCAGAGGAAGATCAGGTTTTCTACTTTTGGAAAATTGTCATATTATTTTCATACGGGAAAGCAGAAAATGAATCAAGAGGATCTAGTTGCCGCACATCATTTGCAATATGAAGGAGACCGTGAATATTGTAGGAATTGAATGTTGAACCGTACATATTTTCATATCTCTCAACAAATTTTTGCAACGCTACTTCTGCGAAATTCAGGTATATTTTTGACGATGACGTTGAAACTAAAATCCTTATTGCTGCATGAAGCAATAAAAAGTGTGTGTACACTTGCTGATTAAGAATACCGTATGTAACAATAGGACCTGTATAAAGAAGGAATTGTCGAAATTCTGTCGCTTTATATTTGGTGCATGCATCAAGTGATCTAGGTCGTCGTGCAAAATCAGATGGACAATATGCTACACAGTCTGTCCCAGATCCAATGAGACTGGTCTAAAAAAATACAAAGCGTTTACTATTTTGATTTTTTATTCTTGTTTATTCAAAATAGTCTCCTTCTGAGTCAATACAGCGCTGGAAACGTTCAACAAATTTTTCGAAACATTTTTTATACTCATCGGCTGGAATGGCCTTTAGTATGGCGGTCGAAGTCTTTTGGATGACCGGGATGGTATCGAAACGATTTCCTTTCATCGGCAATTTCAGTTTGGGAAATAGCCAGAAGTCGCACGGAGCCAAATCAGATGAATACGGTGGATGATCGATAACAATAATGTCTTTTTTGGTCAAGAATTCACGTACCATGATGGCTTTGTGCGATGGTGCATTATCGTACAACAAAAACCAACTGCCTGGCTTTCGATATTCCGGTCGAACTCGTCGAATTCTGGCCCACAATCGTTGTAGAACTCCCAGATAATATCTGGGCAGACACACAGCGGTCGCTTCAAAGAATTTCTTTGACTTTCTCGATGTTTTCTTCATTGCGAATTGTTTTTGGCGGCGGTGCTCGGTCATCGTCTGCAAGGTCCTCACGACCGTCACGGAATCGGCCAAACCAACGGAAAACCTGTGCACGGGACATGCATTCATCCCCGTACACATTTTTTAGCGTTTCGTATGTTTCTGCACTACTTTTACCCAATTTAAAAGTTGGTTTTTCGACCGACGTACACAAAGTGACTTTACATAAAATGTCAAACCACAGTGAAATATCAACCGAATTCGTTCAAATTTTGAGGTTAAGTAGATGAAAGGTAGAACATTCACCTATCATCATTCACTCATAGATATCGCTGCGCTAAGAACTTGTGACGGTAACGCCCGCGGGGTTCGGTGCGATCGGTCGCCCACCGTCGCGCCCGGCTCGCCGCTTCCGCGACGCCTCGCTCGCCGCCGCGCCGATGCGTTACTCGGGTGAAGGAAGTTGTCGTAGGTTGCTTCTCCTCGCAAGAAATATATGTTCGGCGTTTGATGGGTTAACAAGTGTGGTGCGCGAGGCACCCTGTTTATTTAAAAAAAACAAAAAGATTGGTTTCTGTATATATCATATATATAGATGTGTCTAGGCGGGCTCGCTGGTTCGGTGTCGCATCGGCAATGCCCTCCTCGGTGCTCGTGATCCCCCGCTTAGCCGCAGGGACGGTCCCCTATCCGCGGGGTCAGAGGGGATGTCCCGCAGCCTCTTGGCGGTCCGACGTCCTCGGCCACGAGTCCTGTTGAGGGTGGTTTACGCTAGTTGTTCTCTCGATAATTTGGAGATGGTTTTTATTCCGGGCGGCTCACCACAGTCACAGTGACGGACAAGCACGTTCGCTTCCTCACACGCTGACTGGGAAAAATTTGTCTGTGGCGGTGGCTAATTGCTGCCGACACAGACGGACGAGCACTGATAAATTCGCGAACAGACACTTCGAAACTATTCGATGTCGGTGGCCAACGGCCGCCGACGCAGACGGACGAACACTTATCCTCGCGCACAGGAACTTAGAAATATTTTGTGCCGGTGGCTAACTGCTACCGACGCAGACGGACGAGCATTTATGAATCGCGGAACGGCGGCTAACTGCTGCCGTTCGTTCGGAAACAGATACTTAGAACTATTCCGTGCCGGTGGCTAACTGCTGCCGACACAGACGGACGTATACGGTAATTTCGCGAACGGAGACTTAGAAATATTCTGTGCCGGTGGCTAACTGCTGTCGACACAGACGGACGAGCACGTATAAATCCGCGAACAGATACCTAGGAATATTCTGTGCTGATGGCTAACTGCTGCCGACACAGACGGACGAGCACGTATAAATCCGCGAACAGATACCTAGAAATATTCTGTGTCGGTGGCTAACTGCTGCCGACACAGACGGACGAATACGGTAAATTCGCGAACGGATACTTAGAGATATTCTGTGCCGGTGGCTAACTGCTGCCGACACAGACGGACAAGTACGGTAAAGTCGCGATGCCTGGTCGGCCGACGAGGCTCGGTTGCCGGATCTTGTAAAATTTCCCGGTGGTTCGGTACGGTGTGGAAGCTTTACTCACCGGCGGATGCCTTGCCTTCTCATCGACTTCTCTTCACGATTCTCGCTGGAGCTCTCCTTGGTAACTGTTCTGACTGACTGACTGTCTCTCACGGTCTGCCTCTATCTCTCTTCGAGAGCGGGTTTTATACCCTAAATTCCTCTCGACGATCGGTGGCCGATAATCGGGGGATTAGTTCCTCCCGATTTCCCGGAAAGTCGCGCATGCGATTTTCGCGAATTACCCCTTTCTGGGGGGACCGATCTTCCCCGACCGCTTCGTAGAATTCGGCTTTTTCCGGCGGTCTGGCGGGTTGCCGCGGCATAGGTGTTGCCGGGCGCTTGGCGATGATTTCTCGCGATCGTGTGACGATCGGTGGTCGCCGTCACATGATAGTAATGGGGGTAAAACTCCTCGTTACAACTTTGATGGAACCAGTCTCATCGTATCTGGTACAGGCTGTGTATAAGTATTTTCATTCGTGCAGATATAACAGAAATAGATTTTGCAGATAATTTCGAAAACTTTGAGTATTTCCCATGTACCCATGCATTCACTAACAATTTCTTCATTACTCCAAGGCACACCAGGTGCATATATTCAAATGGAACCTGTGTAACCAATCTTATCGATAACATTGACAATGGACTTTTACCTTCTTTATGATAACCTTCATCTAAATTACGGACATATTCCTCATCGGTACAAAGAGAATGATCAATACCATGAAAAGTATAACGTCCCTCATATCGTTGGCTATTAACTTTACATTTAGAGTATGGCTGTTTGGATGTATGGCCTCGATGATTCAAAATAAAAGCACGAGCTGGCGCATCAGCTATAAAACATCTTAACTGTAATGGTATTTTACTATCATTATGACTTATACCTCCGTTGGCAAATATTCTCTTAACATCTACAATAAATTTGTCAAAAAATATATTTGGACCATTTGGTTTTGCAATGCCTCTGTATATCCCTATTATTATTTGCCTTGTGTGTTTTATATTTATAAGCCGACATTGTATTGGCCACAGATGAATAGTTCCTGACCTATCTAAGCTACATCCATCGGTACTAAAGTCTAGTTCTAAATAACTTGGGAGAGATACAGTTGGATAATGCGAAAGCACTTCAGAAATTT